GTAGAAAAGAAATTAAAGTACGTCAAACATTCAAATCAAAAATATGTAATTACATATTAATCCGAGACCTAATTATTAGTTTGATTTTTGATTATAAGTACGTCCTCCTCTCTAGTTTGCTGTGCCCTATACATGGTTTACAATGATCTGTTAAAATATTAACTTACACCTTGTAACACATTGTAGAAAATGCAATACAGTATTGAATTTGGAATGACGATCGAAAGGGTCCATACACCATTGACAGTTTGAATTGAAGTTCAGGAACGGGTTTAGAAAATAGGATATGGCGATTCTGTCTTAACTTCAGGCTGAATTTCGAGTTACACAGTTAAGGTTAATCAACTTTTTAAATGTCGTTACACATCTTAAGATATAACTTATATGACGAATATCGTAATATCAATTCATATTAGGATTATACGAAAACTTGCTTATGAAATTTTTTTTGTGTGTAGGTAAAAAGTTGATTGATCTAATACATGCCCGATGTTTAGGGGTTTTACAATCATTTTTATGAGTGCTACGGTTTTGAGTTCATTCTTAAGTTTCTTTTCCAGATTTATATACAAGATTCCATAAGAGTTACAGAGCGTACACGCTGAGCTATGTCAAATATAACTCAAGTGCCTCTCGTGCGTACATTTCCCCTTTTGTTGACAGGTATTCATTAGTGCATTTAGTTCACGTATACATACAGGGTGTAATCCTTAAGTGTGCCCAGGCGATTATTCTATAAATATAAGATATATCAAGATATCAAAAGTATGAGTAAAGCGACCTCAATAACTTTTAAAACTAAAACTAGAAGTATCCAAAATTTAATAACGTAAACGCTCTCATACATTTAATATGACAAACGTAGAGAAGCTTTTTTGTTAATTCGGGGGAATCTGATTACAGATATCCCGGCCCCGTGGGGGCAGAGCCGGAGTTATGTGGGACTGGGCTGAACCCTGAAGGGGACCAGCCCGACCGCACTAAACCCCCGGAGTGTTTCTCCTCTCCGCTGTAGGTACGGGTACGCTATTGCACTCGTCCGCGCCCGCGCCGTTACCCCACCAGCGCCGGTCGCGCCCTGTACAGGCCCTCGGTCCCCTGACTCCGAATGTGGGGTTCGCTGAACACCAGACGAGCCTTCTATCCTGGGCAACCAACTACCCCGAGTCCGCTGCACAAAAAATGCAGCTTACTTTTTGCAGGCCGTTGATCACTCGTTCACATTTTCCACATTCAGGTCTTCTCATATTTGATTCTTTACGTTGGAGCCCATCCGCGTACAACGGTATAAATACCTTTTTTCCACCACATCGGGAAGTATGCGTTCTATTTTTCTAAGTGAATCTAAACTTGTAGCTTTATATTTTTATTTGTAATAAGTTATTGATGTCGTTTTAATCACTAGGTAACGTACTAAAGATATTAATTTAAAGGATTTCTGATATCTCTTATGTTTACGGAATATTCGCCTGGACACACACACTTAACGATTACACCTGTATACAATGGCGAAGGGTGGCTATTTGGAGAAAGTACGCAGCAAATGCATGGAATACGTTGTCCGTTCAATGCGTACTGGTAATCATATTATATGTCCTTCGCCACTGTTACTTTGTATTGTCATTTGTTTGCATAACATGATTCAATTGCAAGTACATATTTCATACATTAGGTTGTGTTTAAATTGTGATAGTATGATTAATAGTATGTTGGTAATATTTAATTGTTTGCGTTCATATCGCTAGTGTCAATGTGTATATATCGTATACTGCATTGTAATTTTATAAACATTATTATTGGCTAATTGTGACTTGCTGATATCATTTATGGAGTCGTTCTTGAGAGTACATTATGTACTTGCTTAGGTTTAAATCAAATACTTTGGCAGACGTTATAGCAAGAGTAGGTGGAAAGGTTTCAATTTGCGTAACTACGGGTGTCACTATACTTACGACTTGAGCCGAGCTTTTGTACCACACTTGCCGCTATAAGGCTAAGGCTCAATTTATATTGCGGTAGAACGAAATGGAAGCGAATTTTTGTAACGATATTGTACTTAGCATAATGAACTTTATGGTTAATGGTGTAATATACGAGTATAAACTAGATACGCGCCAAAATCTTCCGCGGAATGCGCGAGAATTTGGCATGATTTAAAGATTTTGGCTCGTATTCAGTTTGTATGTTACATAATTGACCGGTGGATGTCGGACGGAGAACACAACAGTCATATCTAGATATGTATCTGTGGAGAACACCCATAGATCGTTGCCGACCTATCGTCGTTGATGCGAAATGCACAAAAGCTTTTTCTGGCCGGATTAATGCGATTCCGTGTCGATAAGTGTGATGATTCCGTACTCCGTAATTTATTTGCCAGAATAAATTCTTTTAATAGGTAACGCATATACTCGTAAATATATAACCTATGGTGATACATTAACGTATTAATGTTGGAATTTATGTACTGTTTTAGAATATATGTACTATCTGTCTACTACTTATTCTTATCTAGAGACGGGTTGGCTACGTTGACAACTCTGACTTTGAACTCAATTTTTAGTTCCACATGTACACAAATAGAAATATTCATCGAATTCCGTTTTTCTATTCGTAGGATCTATAGAAAAACGGAATTAGGATATAGAAGTGTCTATGCAGTACAATTTAGTTTAATTTGTTAATATAAAAAATAGAAACAAATTTCACATTGCCTCCTTTTCGCAGCGAACACTTCGCTTTTTAGAGCGCCGAACTATGAAATCTTGTAGTTACTTCGTTCATCATTTAGAAAGAGACGTAAATAATTGTGTACCTACTGCTTAGTTTAGGTCTATGGGAATCGTTTAGCTTTCATTAGTGTGAATCGACATTAACGTCGACCTGTATTAAATTTAATACGAATGCCTTACGTTAATAACCCTCTGACTTGGTAACATTTGAGAAACGACAGGTTTATATAAGGTGCAACAAAAAAAATAATCAGCTGGTGAATGAAGAAGTATATTTAATTTGGAAATGAATTATTTTTTTCGGAACTAAATAGCGTATTTAGTTTAAAAAAAAATCAACATTGCGGTCAGTTTACAAGTCTCATGGTCTCTGCTGGCTGTCAGCCGTTAGATATGAGACAAATCTGAAACGTTGGTTTGTTTGAAAAAACAAATAAATTCTATTTAGATCCGAAAACTAGTTTTATTTCCCATTGGAAATCTAAAGATCTAATCGAAAAAGATATCTAATCATTATTAGATATCAATCGCAAAAACCTGAGAACTCGATATATCTATTAAAAATAGTAAAAATAAAATTTTCTGTTTGCGGTAATCGTTTTTTACTAGTTTAAACCTAAAACAAAAATGCTAAAATATTTTTATTACACAAATCTTTATCCTCCATTTTTAATTTTCGTAACTTTAAAAATTCACTCCGGAGGCAGAAAACAATCAATAATAATAAGTTACCATTTTGCAAGTTTGTAGTGCTGTTAGGGAGTCACCATATTTATTTACGCGATGAGAACTTTTATTTTTTAGTGATGTTGCATTTTGGTTTACCATACAATTAAAACATGTTTTACGCAAGTTTCTTTTATGGAGAAAACATTTCACTTCGTGAATTGTTTTGTTTCGCAGATTGATCACAGGTCACCAGTTGAAATTGTATCATAACAATTATTAATACAAAGATCGACCACTTAGAAAAAATTCCGTCGATCCGGCCGGATTCGAACCGACGTCTTCTAGCTTATCGTGCAGACGCTATACCAACTAAGCCACGGAACGAACCAGCGGACGTCACGGATTTTTCTATGTGCTTGCGTCGTGTCTTTGTATTTGGCTTTTCAACGACTTTTTAGTCGTGGCGCCATCTATGAGAAATCTATGAAATATTTATCATCCAGTTAGTACCTTTACAGCTACCAGTCTTGGCGAGAGATGTCGCTATTCACTGTATTCTAATTTTTTATTAGAAACACAAAACATAGAAACGCATATCTCCAATGTCTCACGGCACTAACATCTGCTTTTTTTGTGAGAATAGTATGCATGGTTAACTATTTATTTTAATGATTTCTGGGTGCGACTGTCGCGAAATAACAAAGAAAAAAAATATAACCGTTTTAAGGAAATTCTCGATTTTCGTAACTAACGGTAGTATTTTGGAAAAGTGGCAAAGTTACTTGAATAGTGCTTGAAATTCCTGTTAAAATGACGTTTTTAAATATTTAGTGGTATTTTTTATTTTTTGAGTTATCATTTTTGTAATTTCTAAGTATAAAAATCGAAGAACTTAGAACTAAGTTTTCTCCAAAACTATATAAAATTGGTACATGGGAGTTTTCGTCCTGCGTTTAGAATATTAACACGTATTCCTTGCTAAGCTTCACTCAAAATGTCCGATCTGAAGGCATTTCGAAACACTGTGAGGTGTTATGCTCATTTTAGTCGCAGAACTCTTAAGGCGGTCGGTTAATAATATTTTAAATACCGAGCTGTTAAATCCTGTAATTACCGCGTCAATCTTTCTCGAATCTTTATATAGCCAGCGAGCAAAAAGAAAGTCGTCGTCATAGTGCTTCACTCTATTCCGTCTACGATTATCACTTACGATTTACTTACTTACGAACGGTATCTTCTAACGAGAAGCGGTTAGGTTTTGCTTAGCAAATATGTTAGATGTGTGGGCTGTGTTAGTCAACAGGCCAACAATGAATGTAGTACTTTAGGAGTCAACAGGCCAACAATGAATGTGGCACTTTAAGAACTTCTGTAACATGGTAATCTTAATCATTATAGTCATAGTCGTCACCTTTACTAATTATGTTGTTTACGTTATTATAATATAGCTTCATTAACACGTTCATCTTAAATAGAAATTTCAAGGTATTTATCTTAGTCAAGATTGTAATGACAATTCTGTCAACCTTCCGATGTAATGAGTTTCTAAAACTTAGTACCTTATATGAAATTTTTAAAATTTTATTTGATATATTTCAGGGCTGTTCGCGGGCCAGACACAGTGGTTCGATGGTCTTGCGAAGAGCCTGGGCTACGAGAGTGTGCATCATCATGCTGTAATCATCGACGCCGGTTCTTCCGGCTCCAGAGTGCTGGCATACAAGTTCCGAGTACCGTTTACTGGTGAGCTACTGATTGAATATTTATACATACATACGTACGATGTATGTTGAATTGTTGCCAGCAATAGCAGGCTTAGCTTGATGACAAAGTGACACTGACGCTGTGTCAGTGTGTGTTTTAGCTGTCGATTTTTTCCCACAAAATGACGTCACGCAAGTTATCTCTACAGGCGCGAGCATGAGCATTGACGGTACCTTAGTTTAGATATAAACACGATAATAATGGGAAATTACTGTATTAGTCTTGCATTGTGTCGCTTGGCGTCTTCTATTTTTGAAAATAATGCCACTACATTTTTGGGAAGATTTTAGGGTTAGACCAGTCCAGTAATATACAGGTGTAAATTTGAGACAAGGCAGCAAGGCCAGCTATCTTAATCGTTGTAGTTACGTTAAGGAATTTGTTAATTTCCTTAACTACCTAGAATAACTGATTACTAAATATGACCCTAGAAAATCCATGGCAAAAAGTTTTTTTTCGATTTCTGACATTTCGAGTACTCTTACCTTAGTTGGTCCCATAGAGACTATTGATCCTTACCAGAGACTGGACCGAATGGCATAAAAAAAAAGTTTTGTATAAATTGCCTTTTATCTTGCTGACTGTACCATTTTTTCAAAATCTGTGAAAGCCAATTAAAATATCTTCAAAATTCATGGATAGTCGTCTAGAACCGTTTTCCTGTAACTACAACGATTAAGGTAGCTGGCCTTGCTACCCCGTCTCAAATTTACACCCTGTATAAGCACGCTTTAGCATTGCGTTTATACTAAAAGTGTGTTTTATATAGGGTATGGTCATCGCGCTTCATTTTCAAGCGCGTTGACTATACCTTATACAAAACAAGTTCAGTATCGACCCAATGCACGTCCTGTGGGGCCCAACCCCGACAAAGTTTTTTTATATTAATTTCCAGTATTCGGACCAGCAAATCTAGATCTAGTAGAAGAATTTTTCGCACAATCCAAACCAGGGTTATCATCATTCGCCAATGACCCCGCGAAGGGGGCAGATACAATAGTACAATTAATACAAAAGGCGGAGTTCCTAACGCCGCCTGAAAAGAGAAAGGACACTCCACTGATTGTGCGAGCGACTGCCGGCTTGAGATTACTGCCTCAGGAGAAAGCGAATGAATTGATACGTCATGTTGCTATTGCCGTTTCTCAGTAAGTAATTTACTTTGTAAATATTTTCTTATGAACACTGTTGAGGAACATTTTATTACCAATTCATACTTCGATAAAGCAGCAATAAGTTTTTTTTTAAGTGACGGGACGAACAAGTCGTGCGTCTGATGGTAAGCTACACGCCTATTCATAACACTTGCAGTGCCAATCAGAGCTTTAAATCGCAAAGATCTGAGGCGCACTGCTACTGCGTCCTTCACCTTGAGACATTGACAAGTCTCTTGTGCCTGTCATTTCACCAGCACCCTTACCCTTTTCAAAACCGGAACGCTGGTGGCAGAAATAGGTAAGGTGGCAGTACTATCCTGGACGAACTCTTTCGCAAGGGGCTCTACTGCTACTTAATATAAAATATATATAATATAATAACGCACAAACTCAACATAGGGATACCCTGTGTCGCGGGTGCCATGGACACACACACATAGACAACCACAAATTACACCCAAACTCACGAGAGAAATAAATGTAGGTCATACAAATATTTCGCCCGGCCCGGGAATCGAACCTGGGACCTCTGCGTGGCAGTCAGGCATGGTAACCGTTCGGCCACGGAGGCAATAAGTTGATGCTTGCCGATCCTCCTAGTCTACTAGGTATAACCCGAACGAAACTTTTGACTCCCCTCCCTCTTCGTCTTACGTCACCCCGTCTTCGCCCGTTGAGTACCGTCGCAACAACAATCACAATTAGAAAAATATACCTAATTCGGATTGTTATTTTCTCATTCTAAATACTGACCATTACAAAGTTTTTCGTATGATTTAGCGAAAGGTTTGCAATTATTTCGGTCGGGTTGTAAACCGAACATTATTATAAAAACACACGTAAACACTCCGAAATAATGCAGTCTTTTTTCAAACGACTGGTCGGTGATTTTACTTTTTTAGTTGTAGGTCTAGTTTGAAAACAAATTTGGCTTCTTTTGTTGATACAAAGACCGAACAAACATAAAACATAAAAAAAAATATTTAAAACTTCACTCCCTGTTCCGTTCTGTCGTGTTAATTTGTTTTAAGGTCGTATTAATACTTGTAAACTTAATTTGAAAAAACTTTATTCTATATTAAACTTTCGTTTATTTACACTGTCATTATTTTAACATTTTCAACCGTTTCTGTTTATTACAAAATCTAAGGAAAATGTATTTAGTTTGGATTTCGTTTTTTTTTTTTCAATAAAGTTTGAGTAAGGCTTTACAAAGTTGATGTTATAAGATAATTTATGCCTAATTATTATTTATTTAAATATAATCGTTATTATTTTATATTCTTCCTTTTGTTCCGCTAAATGCGCTGGTGTGTGTATTAATTTCGAATAAAATTCTATAAATATATTTATCAATATTATACATTTGCGATTTTATGACCCAAATAGGGAGTTTCTACACACAATCGACGTTTTTTATCTTGCATACTGCTTTTTCTGGCCAACTCAAGCTGCTTCCTATGAATTAATAATAACAATAACGGACACTCACCATAGCCCCACACTAGGGAGACCCTGTGTCGCGGGTGCCATGGACACACACATAGACAACCACAAATTACACCCAAACTCACAAGAGAAACAAATGTAGGTCATACAAATACTTCTCCCGGCCCGGAACCGAACTTGGATCCTCTGCGTGGCAGCCCGGTAAAGGTTAATCGTACGGAGGCAGTTAAAAAGATATCAGCTTTTCTTTTTTATGATAAAATATGTGCACATTTGACCTCTACCTGAACAACAGTTGTTGTTTATGATGTTAATAATATAGACCTGTGAGGTTGTTAGTACTTTATAAATAACCCCGTTTACGTATATTGAAGTAGGACGTTATATTATTTGACACTTTTCCAGTTTGGGCTACGCAGTTGGTACGAACAGCGTGGAGATCATGGAGGGTTCGGACGAAGGCATCTTCATTTGGTATACAGTAAACTTATTACACTGTAAGTATCCTTTTATATCCTTTCTTTACCACTTTTCTATTTAACCGGTGAATAACCAAGTGTAACTCTATAACCAAAGTATAGTAAGACAAGTATAATATCGGGGTATAAAGTTGACATTAAATGATATATGAATATTAGACAACATCGTAATATACGTTATAATTATTAATACAAATCCGGATCCGGCCGGATTCGAACCGACGTCTTCTAGCATACCATGCCAACGCTATGTCAACTAATCCACGGATTGAACCAACGGACCTTTCGGATTTTTCTATGTGCTTGTTTTTGTCAGATCTTTGTATCTCAAGGGTCAAGGGTTCTCAATTGAATGTACGACACGAGGGCTAAAACGTATGGGGAAGAAAATTTGCAACCAAGGCGGTACCCAACACAGCAACGTCTACTTTAACCCGTCTTAATGACATGTGGTGTCCGTAAGGATTTTGGCAATTTTTTTTCTATATTTTTTTAATGATGGATGAAAACACAGCTGCACGATAGAGACACAGTGTGACTGTAGGACGCTACAGTACCAATATTGTTTGGGACACCGCTACCCTGTCAAACCAATAAATACACTGTAAAAAACACTGACAAAATTGCAAATAAGGCTTTCCGGTTTTTTGTAAATTTTAATATAATAGGAGAAAAGATACATTTAACTTGCTTTGCTTATTAGATATCATTATTATTATTTCACTTTGAAAAATAAGCTATTTCTATTAAAAATTTATGAATTTCTTTTTAACCGACTTTAAAAACGGAGGATGTTGTCAATTTGACGGGTTTTTTTGTGTGTGTATGTTATGCGATTACTTAGGCACGTGAACCGATTTTGATGATTCTTTATTTGTTGGAAAGAGGATCAGTATTGGTCCCATTTAAGTTAACCGACTTCAAAACAGATAGCGCGTCTGGATCACAGTGCTGAACCAGTTCAGAGACTTTTGAACATTCACTGCGCGCAACGCGACGCGCGAACCCGCTCGACTTTAGCCAAGCGTGGACACACGAAGGCGTGTATCGTCGCGCTCCCACACGCGATTCCATATTTGCATTACGCAAATTTGTACCTTAATAATGGGAAAATAGAGATGAATATGCTATAGGCGGAAAACATGACGCGTCGAGACGCTTCGACTCTGCGCCAGTGTGAGTTGAGCCTAACAGTTGCAGTGCTTCTCAGAGCTTTAAATCGCAAAGATCTGAGGGGTACTGCGCCCGTCATCCTGAGACATAAGTTGACAAGTCCCGCGTGTCTTATATCGTCGGGGATAGTGCAATTCCGCACTAAGCACTGAATAATTCCGGGTATCTGAAACATGTAACCAATGTGAGTTGTGCATGCTAGTGCACGTAGTTGTATGATTGGGAGCCGCCTTCTTTACGCCAGTTGCAATTGACTAACAGAAAGCCAGAAATCGGTAAATAACAATATGCCTTTGATTTCAATACCGCGTAACTTACTCGCTTACCGCGGCCAAATCAGATACGCGTAAATGTCGTGGCAAGTAAATTAACAAGATTTACGGGAATCTATTGTTTGCAGTCCGTTGCCAACATAAATTAACGCTTAGTGTGTAAAAATGATAGTCGTAGCAATTACTACTACGGTAAATTAGTGGTTAAATCAATACCGCGTAAATGTCATAACAAGTAAATTAATAAGATTTACGGGAAGCGCTAACAGTCCGTAGTCAACATAAATTAATGCTTACTGTGTAGAAATCAAAGTCGTAGCAATTGAAATAACAAAAGTAAAAACCTGTAAAATTTGGTTTTGTGTAGATAATGCCTCTTTTACCAAAGCTACTTACGCGGTTTTGCACTATCCCCGACGATATATCTTCTTATACATATATATAATTGTACGCGCTTAATGCATTATTAAATTTGTTATTTTACTTTCCTATTTAGATTTCTATGGTAAGTATGAATGTTAATTTAATTTAAGCGATTAATAGTCAATAACAGGTCGGGAATCATGCTGAAAGGTGTAAACGGTCATTTTCGGGCTATTGTTGAGTACCTAATTTCCGTGGCAATATTTATTATTTAATTATTAAATAATATTTCACGCTGCAATATTCGAATATCAAATAATATTCATCGAGTATATAACCAGAAGTAGAGACGAAATAAGGACCATCCATCCCTGGCAACTCATCAGGCAAATGGGCCTTATATCAATTCTCGTTTGCGCTGAAATCACAAATTAGAAGCTGAAATAGTACAACGCCAAGAACTGTCTCGTGTATTATGTCTCCGTATATTCCAAAAATTTTCTCTATTTATTGTAATAAAGATATTATCTCTAACAATGTTCCATTCGGTGGTGTGAGAAAACCAGCAAAACATGTAATTCCAAAACTAACGGATTTTTTTTCTTTCATCGGTAATTAAATATTAAATATGTCGTTTTCCATTATAGCAAAGCTTACGTTAAATTTGTCTATTTGAAGTGAAACAATTAACGACACCCGTCAATTGTTTTGGATTCGGGCTGGCCAATTGGAGCGCAGTTGTCACCGTAATGATTTGGCAGAATAGTTTTCAAACAAATTAAATGACATTTCGTTTCTATTTTTTTCTGGTTACATACTCGATGATAATATTGCACGATAAAAAATCGGACACTTAAATAATAAAAATATCCACGGAAATTAGCTAGTGAACACTGGTCCGAGAATTATGGGATTTTTATTGTACATATTTCATCAGCTGATAGGTACAGCAACAAAACTATTATAGTCGATTCCTTTTAGTTGCAAGGACCAGAAAAATGCTGTATACTCATATGCTTGCAACATTGTTTTATTACTTATAAGGTAGAATTTACAACAAACAGGTTTCGATCTATGTGATAAAAAAAGATCTATCCTATAGTCATGCATTTTGTGTTAAATTTTACGTGTGCCAATAAGCTTATAATGTTTAGCGTAACTTAAAACTAATGCGTGTTTTGTTTATTCCATTTTGGGAGACTCGTACTAACACTGGGGTATGACAGGGTGTTAATAAACACTTAGGACGAATTATACAACTAAAACCCTTTAAGGTAAGGGGTTGAAAAGGTTGTAAACCGCCAGAGTTGTTAGTAATGAAATAGACGTCTCGGTCCACATAAATTTATTGTATAATTAGGCAGAAGAAAAGGTAAAAGGCAAAAGAAGGCTGTAACAACAAAAATAGTTTAAAACTCAAGTACAATATCAAAGACACCGCCTATTTAAATGATACGGAACATGTGTGAAACAGTAATATAGTAGGAAATGAAACTATTTTTCCGGATTTAAATCGCGTATATTCGTTTTTTCAAACAAACCGACGTTTCTGGCCCTTTACAGGTCCCATGGTCACGGTTAACTGAGTTGGTACAGTCGTCAACCAGTTATGTCTAATATTAATGCAAACCACCC